ACATTTTTCTTTAATAAGTTCTAAAGTGTGTACATTTTATCACTTCCTCTCCCTCAGCAAGGTAATGCTTGGACTTAATTATTATACTATTATTTTCTATTTTCTAATTTATTGCTATTTTCTACTTTTTTCAAGTCCTTATTTATACTCTACATTTACATTATTTGTTTTCTAATTACTTAAGATGTTTAAAGTTATATTGATTGATTTTTATTCCTGCTTTCTAAAGTAAGTATCTAATCTTGTAAATGTTCCTGTTTTAGCTATATACATTTATATAACTGTATGAAATATGGCAGAATATATATTGCAGGAATATCTATAAATAACAGTATAAACTGTATTATATAACATGTACTAATACTTCCCAGATATTCTATAATTTTATTTGAATTTCCTCTGACCTGAGATTTGATTAAGAAGGACTTTTTTCTTTGTTTAGTTTTATTTTGATTTACATGCAGGTAGTTAGGGTACTTTATTTTGGGGATATTAATTTCTGGTTGAAATGTATACTACTGGGAGAATTTTGCATGTACTCTTCTTGTTTTTGTTTTTACATGAGGATATGAAAAGAGGGTGTATTTTCTGTTTTTAAGATATAGATTTCATATAGATATCAATTAGATATAATTTATTAAACATAGTTTAGACTTTTATTTCATTAATCTGCCATACACTATAAAATTTAAATTCTTTCAACACTGCTATGTTTCTTTTTCTTTTTGTAGCTCCTTGCTTTATGAACTTTTCTTCTTTCCCAGACTTCTGTTGAGTTGATAAAGTTCATAACATTCCATTTCTGTCTTTAGCTAACTTGGAAGCTATAGATTTCCTTTTCTATTGATTTCTTTAATTTTTAATGAGTATATTTGAGTCCAAGTTTGTAACAAATTGTTAATTTTCTATGGCTGCAAATTACTACAAATGCAATGACTTAATGCAACATAGTAGCTCAAGTTCTAAAGGTCAGGAGTCTGGCACACCCCAACTGTTTTTCTGCTTAGGACCTTACAAGGCCAAAGACGTTAGTCAGACTGGGCTCTTATTTTTTTTTTCTTTTTTTGGCATTTCAATGCACATAATGCATTTTCTTCATATCTATACCCTCCATTACCTGCCCTTATACCTTCCTCAAAGTACTGGGCTCTTACTTGAAGGTTTTTAAGGAAGATGATGGTTATTCAAATAAAAGGTTAAAAGAAAATATTGAAAAGTATAAAAGCCTTCTGTGAACATCAGTTGTATAATAATTCATCCTTTTAATAGAGTACTCAATGTAGAAATGAAAAAGTACCACCCATGTCTCTGATTGCAGGTACTTAGGAAACTAAAGATGCACATATAATCAAAGAATGTTTTCAGATAAATGTTTAAGTTTGGAAACATGAAGTAAAGCCCCAAATATTTCAAACCTTTTGAATTTTGAATATACAGCTTAAATATATTCATAGAAATTAAATATTAGATATTCTCACATATAAATTGAGGTGGCATCCCAAATGGACTTAATCTCTCCTCAAGTAATATGTCTGCTTCATCCAGGGATAAATTAGTTGTAAATATGCAGTTATTATCATGAACGTACTAATGGAAAATATAATACAGTATATTCCATATTCCTGGTTATAAGAAAACAGATTTTTGGAAAATTTTGAAACACCTGCCAAGTTCTGAGGTGGCAGACATGGGGTGGGGAAGGGAGAAAAACACAAGTAAATGTAGTATTTCTAAACTAACTCATCTGAAAAAAGAAAGAAGAAAATGAGAAACAAAAAAATGACAGCAAGCATTTATTTATTCAACACCAGAAGACAATAGAGCTTCATAAATAGAATCCACCAGTAGGGGAAAGGAAAGAAGGGAAAGGAAAAATTATGAGAAAAGAAAAAAAATGAAATTAAGTCTATGTAAATAGGGAAGGGTGGAGGGGGTGAAGGGCGCACAGGTAATGGGGAAAAAAATAAAAACCAAGATACATCATGTACAGGTACAAACACCCAATGATAAATGTAAATGTACTGTATACCTAAAATGTACCAATAAAAGAATTTAAGGAAAAAATAGAATCCACCAGTGTTCTCATTTTTAGTCTTACAGGAGAATGAAGATCTGATGTTTCTCTGTGTTTGACTTATAGCATGTTTTTAGAACTCAGTGTGTGTATGTGTGTTTGTGTGTGTGCATTTATAAAATTCACTAAAAGGATAATTTTTAAAATCAGTATAATCAGTAAAATCAGTAAAATCAGTATAATTACCAGGATTCACAAGGCAGAAAGATTACTAGAATCATTTAAGTTCTTTCCAAATATGAATGTTGACCCCCCTTCCTCAGAGACATGCTATGGAATCAAAACACTCAGAGGCAGTTCTTCTAGACTCTTCCCTAATTTATACAGTCACAAGGAACTTTTGGAATTTTATATTCATTTGGTACCACTCAACCATCAGTTTCTGGCCTGGGGATTTAGCTCAGTGGTTCTTCTGCCTGCCTCGCAAGTGCAAGGTCCTGAGTTCGATCCCTGGTACCAAAAAGAAAAAGAAAACAATCAACAATCAGTTTCTATTATATATGTTAATTCATCCTGCAAAGAACTGTTGGGTGTTTGTGATGCTGTGTGTGGGAGGCACCGGGCACAGAAGTGCATTCCAGGCCTTGACATCAAATGGATCTGTGGATGACTCTTGCTCAGCTGGTTGCATCCTTGAGGTTTTGGTTAAGTTTTTTAACCTCTGTAGCTATTGTTTTATTTACCTGTAAAGTGGGATAATATAGCTATATCTCTACTCATAATTGAGTATTATTTTAAAGAATAAATGAAATCATGAATTTAAAGCACTTAACTCATGAAGAATTTAATCAATGTTAGTAAATATCCATATCATCTATTATTATCATTGTTACTATTATTATTACTACTGCTCTTATTATTGCCCTGAAATTGGCTTACCAATTCAGACTGGCAAATCAGTCCAGATCCTACAGTATCCCTTAGTCTTACAGGAGAAAATGCCATACACCGATGAAATGTTAAATAACCAATCAGATGCTCTGTATGAGTCTGTGAGATACAGAAACATGAGTTTCACAGAAGGCCCCACACTGTAGTGGTTAAAATTATGAATTTCACTGGAGCCGCCTGCTTTTCATCTAGTTCTATCACTGACCAGTTATGTCACAAAAAGCTAGTTATTTATACTCTCTACCAGTTTATTCAAACATAAAATGAAAGAATAACTATATATTCCTTGTAGAATCATTTGAAGATTAAGTAGAATAATACATGTAAGTCACTTATAACAGTGCCTGGAACAGACAAAGTGCTTGATAAGTAATAGCCATCATTACATCCTTCCTGATAGCCAGTTCAAGACCTAGCACAGAGATGGGCAACAAATATTTGTTGATTTATTAGAACTAATGGTATCAATAACAGACTAGAGGCCTGTAACAATAGTGTCATCAATTTAAAACTGAAGGGAATGGAGTCATTGAAATAAAGATTCAATATTCAGTGAGCCTGTATTTCAATGGTCTTGCTTTCATTTGAATATGGAAAAGGGAAAACGAAGACAGGCTTAAAAAAAGAACTATATGGGTTAAAAGGACTAGTTTTGGAATCCACAACACACATATCCCACTTTCTAGGGCCCTCAGCCCCCAGCAGATGATACATACATACATACAGATACACATATAAATACATGTTTCAAACACATATATATGTGATAATCGACTCTGTTGTCACTGAATAATACCTTCTAATTATATTGACTGATGTGCCCTAACAGATTATTTTTATACATTAAATATTTAGATATAGTTTGACTATTGGATCAGATTGCTTGACACACATGAATGATTTTCTGACTGGTCACACACCAACTCTCTGGGCTAAGAAGATCCAGGAAAATTTGGTGACCCTATGCTACAGATTCTCTCTCCCCTGAGGAAACCTAAAATTCTTGTGTAAGTCCAAGAGCTATAAAAGTGTCCAACAGACCACTTTTGTAATACTGAGAGACCCTCAGGTCAGTCAATATTAGCTCTTAAGAATTAATTATGTAATTCAGGATTTAAAAGAAGGTCATATCTCTGAGCCAGTGACCTAACTGCTTGAAAGATTTTTCTTAACTTTTGCTTATTACCATCCGTGAACCATTTTTAATCTTTTGCTTCCTAGATATCTTGCAGCAAAGAAGCCCATGCCACATAGATTACCAATTTTAAGAGCATTACACACACACACACACACACACACACACACACATACACACACACTGCATTATCTCACTTGATCCTCCTGTCTTAGTTACTTTTCTTGCTGCTGAGACAAAATATCCAACACCCACAAGTTAAAGGAGGAAAGGTTTATTTAGCTCACAGTTTGTAGAGGTTTCAGTCCATAATCAGCTGACTCCAAGGCAGGGTGGTATGGCAGACAGGCATCACAGGAGAAACAGTTCATGGTGGGCAGAAGGTAGCAAAGCAACAAGGGTTGACCCCAGCTTTTTCTATCCCTTATATTTTATCCAGGCTACTTAGGGCAGGTAGCACTCACACCCTCAATCCTAATGCCCTTGATCCTAGTTTTGGACATAAAACTATTCCAGCATCACACACTCTAGATCCAGCACCTCTGAAAAAGCCCTGCCTATGACTGCATGAGGCTTTGGGGGACATCTAGACACAAGCCATAACACCTCCCAATAACCTCTTAAGTAGGAATGGCAGATACTTTTACCGTATTCCCATTTTTAAGACATACAGATGCAGGCTTTTATGACCACACTGAAACAGGACTCCAGATGTTCGGTCCAGCACCCTTTTAATGTGTCAGCGCTTGGGACTCTGCGTGAACTGGATAGCAAAGTAGAATTATAACAAAACTGCCCCAAAGGAAATCTTTAGAGTTTTCTGTCTAGGTTCCCAGATGATGACACTATTCTGAGAATCAAATGTACACTACAGCCACAATACAGATATTTTGGCCAACAAAGTCATGTTCATGTATCCATAACATAAACAACCATATAATTTTTTCCTTCCTTGTAAAATAACTTGAAAACAGCTCCTCTTGCTGGCTTTGGAAGCCTACCTTTACCAAAGTTAAAGCAGCTGAAGGAGTCAGTACGCCTTTCTACCTATGCCCCCAAGGAAGCAGGGCTCCAGCTGTCCAGGGTAACTAATTAATACGTGGTGTTTCCCGCCCTCCTTTAGCGCACCTCTCTGCTGCCTCTTTCTCACCTCTTTCGCACCTGTTCCCTGGACACCATTGCCTGCCCGGACTTGGGACGCTGTTCGGCTGCTGATCTTTATCCTCGGGAGGAAAATTCCGCACTATTCCAAAGTATCCAGACTGTCTCCGCGGACTACTATGGCCCAATTTCTGCCATCCCAGCCTGGGGAATCTCGTTTCCTGGAGATAAGTTCCGGAATCTAGTTTAGAGAAAACTCCCTAAATCCCCAGGATCCACAGAGAAGCTGGAAAACCAAGACACCACCCCCACCACCCCCACCCCGGGGCCGCTGTAGACACAGGTGCGTGCGTCCTTTCTCCCTCTAGCGAAGCAGGGTAACAAGAAACCACGTAGTTGCTACGCTGAAGAGGGACGTGAGGAGGATGGGGACACGGAGACATGTAATTCCCGGAACAAACTTGACGAGGGAGTAAAATTAGCCAGCTTGTCTTCCCAGGGGTAAACTCGCTGAGCAAAGCACGTGAGACAGAGCGCATGTTCGGGTGCCTAGACGCGAGATTTCTAGGTCCCGCGCGGTACTGCGCCTGTTGAAAGCAAACGTGGGTTTACAGTGACTGGAGAATGAAGCTCAGGAAAGGGTGATAAGCCCAGCAACGGCATGGCACGCCCAGTTCTCCAAGCTTTTGGAAGAGTGGGAAAGCGCTGGCATCCCCCTTATTTATTGTGCCTGGGAATCCACAAGTGTCCCAGCCCCACCCCGCAGCAGTGATGCAAAGAGGGCAGTTTACCCACATAGGCAGGAGGGGCCAAAAGGGGGCTGGACCGTCTCCAGCCAGTGGAGCGAGAGGGAGCGCGCTACACAGACACAAATCTCGCGTAAATAATTGAGTTCTGAGTCCAGTGCGTTTAGAACTTCGGAGCGCACCTCCAGCGCTTTGCTGGAGCTGGATAAAGGCAGAGCACGGTCAGGAACAGGGCCACCGGACTGAGAGCTGCTTGGTGGGCAAGTGGGACTTGCAGGAGGAATTGCAGAGCCGGTGAAGGCCGGGCTCGGGGAAGAACAGCGCGCAGCAGGCAAAGCACCCAAGTGCTCCGGAGCGGGAAGGGGGAGCGCGCGCCACGGACTCGGAGGCGCTGCACCGACAGCATGCGCTTCTCCGGAAACGCGGACGCGGGTCCAGCGCCCAACGCCAGCGCTTGGTGGACCCTGACTTCAGATGGTGCCAACAATAGCCGCGAGGTAGATGTGCCCGGAGAAGGCGACGGCCCGCCACGGGACGTGCGCAATGAGGAGCTGGCCAAGGTGGAGATCGCTGTGCTGGCTGTGACTTTCGTGGTAGCGGTGCTGGGCAATAGCAGCGTGCTGCTGGCTCTGCACCGCACACCACGCAAGACGTCCCGCATGCACCTCTTCATCCGGCACCTCAGCCTGGCCGACTTGGCTGTCGCCTTCTTCCAGGTGTTACCGCAGCTGTGCTGGGACATCACCTACCGCTTCCGCGGACCCGACTGGCTGTGCCGCGTGGTGAAGCACCTGCAGGTGTTCGCCATGTTCGCGTCGGCCTACATGCTGGTAGTCATGACCGCCGACCGCTACGTCGCCGTGTGCCACCCGCTCAAGACTCTGCAGCAGCCCGCGCGCCGCTCCCGCCTCATGATCGCCGCCTCTTGGGTGCTGAGCTTCGTGCTGAGCACTCCGCAGTACTTCATTTTCTCCATGATCGAGGTGGACAATGTCACCAAGGCTCGAGACTGCTGGGCCACCTTCATCCAGCCCTGGGGTACCCGCGCCTACGTCACCTGGATGACGAGCTGCGTCTTCGTTGCACCGGTGGTTATCTTGGGTACCTGCTATGGCTTCATCTGCTGCCACATCTGGCGCAACTTCCGCGGAAAGACGGCGTCGCGCCTGGGCAAATGTGTAGCGGGCTCTGGGGGCGCCTTCCATAAGGGCCTCTTGGCCGCGCCCTGTGTCAGCAGCGTGAAGACGATTTCCCGCGCCGAGATCCGCACCGTGAAAATGACTTTTGTGATTGTGACGGTCTATATACTCTGTTGGGCGCCTTTCATCATCGTCCAGATGTGGTCTGTCTGGGATGAGAAGCTCGTCTGGACCGGTAGGTGCTGGGACAACGGAGACCGGAGGCAGGGAGTTGTGAGGGCACAGTTTTTCTTAATATTCTTACAGTAGCTCTTGAACTTGTGTGTGCATAAAAGTCACCTCTTAGGATCACGGAAAAAATTGTCAAAAATGCAAATTTCTGAGGTCTCATCTCCAAACTTAACAATTAAGTATTTCTACAAGGGGACCCAGGAGTCAACATTTGTAGCATACAGTGATGATCCTAATACCACCAACCCAGAAGCTGTGCCCTAGAGCACCTAAAACAGAATGATGGCCTTTTGCCAAATCATTAATTATAGTGTGAATTTCCTACTTTCAAGTCTATCGAATCCAGGGAAGTATTTTTGCTGTCATAATTGCTTTTCATTGGATTGTGAAAAGCATCACAATTAATACAAAATTTTATAGACGTTTGCCAAAGTCAAGAACAAAGATGAAAATTTTTCTGGAGAAAACTGGAAAAAGATTCTTAAGAAATAGAGATCTCAAAATTGTCATTTAGCTTATATTCCCTTTCTTGTTATGAGTTTTTTCTAGCAATAATTACTTTCTTTTTCTGTAGTATTTTAAAGCACTGTTATTGATAAACTAAATTTATTAGACAAATTCATTAGTCTTTTAGCAATAATTTGACCACACTCTACATAAATTTTGTAAAGTATAGACAGCTAGCTTGTTTGATTTTCATTCACAAAATAGAAAGGCTGATTTCATAGGCTGATTTCATAATTTTCAGAATTATTCAGTTTTGCATCTTGTAAAATGTTTTTGTAAGGAGAAAAAAACTTTTTAAATCAAAAATACTATAGAAATATTTCTGATAATGGCTATACTCAGTATATAGTTATCTAGGAGAAGCCTATGTTTTTTAGGATTGAGGTCAGAGTGGATGCTATGTATTTTCTGAGTTTTATTTGCAAATAAAACTTTTGAATGTGAATTTAATTTTAACAAATAAATATTCCTGAGGGCTGTAACATTATCGATAAGGAAAAATACCATACAAACACTATTTTCTATTTATCAGTTTCTGTCCTGTTTGATCTTAGAAGTGTCTAATATTGCCAATCAAATAAAAATCCAATCTAATTATTACTGTATTGACAATTAGGCACAATTACTAAAAGCTTCTGCACTTATGGATAGAAATGTAAATGATTTCTATTTTTAATACAATCAGCCATGGATAATGATTACTTTTAATGGCAACATCTACCACAAAATATTTGCAAATGTAATTCATTTTCACATAACAAGAGAAAAACCCAAATTTATATACACTAATCAAGGGAAAGTCAGTGCTTGCTCATTACTCTTATTTTTAGAAAAAGTGCCTGATAGTGTAATAGTTTCATTGTGAAAAGTTGTAATATATATGTAATTAGACAGTACCAGTTAACATAAAATATTTCAAAATTCTATTGGAATTTCTTTCTTTTCTTTTTTTTCTTTTTTTTTGGTACTGGAGATTGAACTCAGGTCTTTGCGCTTGCATAGCAGGCGGTGAAACCACTGAGCTAAATCCCTGACCCAATTGGAATTTCTTAATCCAGCTGTTCTTAATATAATTTAATTGTTTGAAACACAAAGATGATTTTCTTTTGAAATCAAACCAAATTTCTAATTATCCATGCAAAATAGCTTTGCACATTAAGAGAATATGTTCAATGTTTAAAACCACTAAATATGGTCCATGATGCTATTCTTTTGCCTGAGCTATTAGGATGAAAATAATTTGGTATATATGGTTTTAGACACTTGAAATTTCATTGAAATTTTAGCCATTCTGTAATTGTGTGTCTATTAGCACATGCTCATATTAGTATAAAATATACAGATTTTAAAAAATAAACTATTTCATAGATTTACTTCTTGAATTAACATATCCTATTTAAATATATTAATTGTTATTTTAGAATATTTGCATTAATTTTGAGGCATTTTGCTTACAAAAATCTTTTACAATCAAGCAATTTCTAAGTGTCATCAATTTCCCTGACTAATAAACAGGATAATTTTCTGTACTAACCTATAATTTTTTCCTCTTTAGTCACTAGAAAAATGAATTTAAACAGCACTCAATTTCTTGTTTTGACTATTTAAATAGTCTTTCTTTATAATTTTTCATATAGATTCAGAAAATCCTTCTATCACCATCACTGCATTACTGGCTTCCTTGAACAGTTGCTGCAACCCCTGGATATACATGTTTTTTAGTGGCCATCTCCTGCAAGACTGTGTCCAAAGCTTCCCATGCTGCCAAAGCTCTAAGCAAACATTCAACAAAGAAGATACTGACAGTATGAGCAGAAGACAGACTTCTTACTCCAACAGTCGAAGCCCAACAAACAGCACGGGTACATGGAAGAACTCACCTAAATCTTCCAAGTCCATCAAATTCATTCCTGTTTCTACCTGACCCCAGGTTCTTACAGCCTGACTCTTGTGACTGACTTTTGGATCTATTAGCTGGATCCAACTAGAAATCCTGAGAACAAATGAACTCAGGTGGGAGAAACATAATTCAGTTCATTTTGTACAAGACTTTGTTTTTAGTTGCATTTTCCACATTGCTGACCAAGCAGTGTGAATTGCTTTGTACAGAATGTTAATGAAAACACACTACACTAAAAAGTGTAGGCCTGGTTACCCAAAATATAACAGGAGTTATGTTTTTAAGGAAAAAATCATAACCACTCTGACTTTATATTTTGTTGGTTTATTTTTGTTTCTGACATAAGTCAATCTTGACTGGTTTTCTGAACAAAGGGAGGTCATCATTTAGAGGAGACTTAGAATAATTGTGTTTCCATCCAATAAAATTAATGTATGCATCATAAAGTGAAGCCCCAAACAGTGACCTAGAGAGGTCATCTTGAAGAGGTGGGAGCTGGGGCATATATTGAGCAGGAGGTGGCTAGTTCAGAGTGAAAAAAAGTTCAGCTAGAAGCAATAAATCATCCTGAATTTCAAAATTGCAACTGGCAGTGCCCTTCTGTAGGTTCCTCACGATATATGGGCTCTGAAGTGTTGTAGACAGGCCAATAATATGTTTTTCCTCACACTACAAAATTGTTTTAAAATCAGATTTGTTTGAGGAATGCCAAATTTTACAGAAAAGAAGAAAAAGACTACACTTAAGGTAGTCTGAAGACTTATGTTGAACACTGTAAACGTATTATTTTACCATGTTATAAGATGTCCTGTGTGATGCTAGATATTAACATGATCATTCTCTTCATGTTTTGTGAATCCAGCTTTATAGATGAGAGTCTTCTTGATAGTGACTCAGAATATAAAATGCCCCCTCCCATGTTTAATTGGGAGATCCTTCCAATTTCCCATACACCTAACAGTTTCAGAATAGAGAAGAGCAGGGGTAGGGGTCAAGGGCAGGAAGGTACATACCTAGTCTGAGTTCCATCATTACTAAATGCATGACTTTGGACAAGCTACTTTAAAACACATAAAGTCTCTGTTTACTTGGCTGTATAATGGAGATGGTAACACTTACCTCACAGGGTTGTTGTGAGGACTAGATGAAATTAAATATGTGAAAAGAGCTTCATAAAATGTAAAATAGTGTATATATGTATGCTAACAGTTGCTTTTATTTTATTCTTGGGATTTCCAGAATTGCACAGAGGATTTTCTCACTTATTTTTTGTTAAGCAAAAGTGGTTAATTTCATGTCTGTGACATAAAATCCTGAAATTTAAATATAGATCTGCTGACTCATTGTAAAGCATTACCAGTAACAACTCAGCCTGACTTGTCTTGCTCAACTAAAGTTTTCCAGTATACAGAACTTGCTGTGTTTTGAATGCAGGTAAACCAAAGCCACCCAAGAACATCAGTTGCTTTTATTTCTAAACAGCAATAAATTACAACACTCCTAGCAGTTGGTTCATTTTTTTTGTTAATGGAACTAACTGGTTTTTGTCTAGCTATTTTGTCTGGCTCCTTCTTTGAAACCATACAGCAATTTGAGAGTAAATATTTTGAGTCTCTTAGAGGAAAGAATAGTTACTTTTAGTAGTAGTACATAGCTTCTTTTTTTAACTTTGTAGATAAGAGTCTGAATTTGCATAGCACTGCAATAACCTGGAACCATGAACTTCAGTCCTCTTCATTCTTCTGTCTTTCCAACTTCTCAGCCCTTAGACTCCCTAGGCTGATAAGCCTAAAAAATGTTTCCAAATGTTCTGTAGAAAGCAGTCCCATTGGTTTTAGAATTCCTCTTTCTAAAACTAACAAATAGGACTGAGGATATAGCTAGGTGGTGAGCACTTTCTTAGAACCCTTGAGGCCCTGGGTTCAATTTCAAGCATGCAAAAAAGTCACATTGAATAAAAACTACAAGTATATTTCTTAAAGGGCACTGTTCAATATAAGTCATCAACTAAATGAATCACTTCTTTATTTAAATTAGAGCACCAGAACTGTAACACTGCCTCTGTAAGATGGTCAACCTTTTTGAGAATTTCTGTTTGATAATTTAAAAACTGAAGACTTGTATTGGAACAAAGGAGCCCATTTTTTTCTAAAAATTACATCCATTTTCAAGGTAATAATTTTTTGTTCTTATATGGATACTGTTTCAAAATATTGATATGTATCCCCAAGGAAATCAATTCCATTTGACTTTATTCCTGGGGGCATCTCTCAAATAAAACACACATCAAACTCCCTGCCTGTCTTTTCTTCTTTTAGATACCTCAGGAGATGAAAGGGTAGGAAATAGACTGGGAAGGCAAAAGAAGATCCAGGTTCTACTTTTGCAGCAGTCAAATATGTAGCCTTGTTCTCTGGGGAGTAAGACAGGGAAACTTATTATATCTACTGCTAAAACTTCTTAATGTTATATATCTAGAAATGGCATTCATATTACTCCAGTCTACAGTTCAAATCAGAAGAGTTCTGCCTGTTTCATGAGAAGGAAACTGCAGGCAATGAGGAGGATATGTTCTGTGAAGAAAAGTTTTCCTTTTCTTGACCAAAGAGAAGACCTGAGTTATGCCAAATGAAGGCTCACAGTCAAGAGTGAATGTATGGTACCATCTTATTGTATTTTATAGGGTTATCTGTGGGAAGATCCTGCAAGTACACAGTACTAATGTATTTATGTGAGTGTCAAATTCAGAAAAAAAATTTAAGAATTAATCTGATAATATCAGAATTACTACCTTTCCACACACAAAGTTAGTTGTTTTTATATCACAAGATTTCTTTTTTTAAATTAATTTTAGTGGTACATTTTAGGTATACAATATAATGACATTCATCACTGAAAATTTGCATCTTTACATAATCTCTCTTGGTTCTTATTTTTCCCCATTCCCCTGCCCTTCCTTCAACCCCTCCATCCCTCCCTATTAAAAAGACGTTGTTTTCAGTTTTTCATTTTCTCATATTAATTCCATTCCCTTCTTTCCTTTCCCCTACCCCTCCTACTTCCCCTTCCCCTTTGCCCCTTTTCTTCCTATTTCACATTATCTATTATACCTTTTAGTTCTTATTTACACTT